ATAAAAGTGAACTCTATAGCGCCCCCTAGCATAGACATGAAACGTCAACATTATCGGATTAGTACCAAATTCGGGGCATAAATTCTATGCTTGATTACAAGCAAAAAAGTTCATTATGGACATGATGCATTTTCCACCATTGGCCAGCAGGGGCGCAAAAACTCCCCCAAAAAATAGTTAAAAAATAATTACACCCACAGGGTTAGTCCGATCATGCTGAAATTTGAATCACTAATGCCTGATTTCGACCTGATTATAATACACTATAAAACATATGAACTGTGAACTCTATAGCGCCCCCTAGCATAGACATGAAACGTCAACATTATCGGATTTGGACCCCGCAAAGACTCCCCCAAAAAAATATTTTTAAAATTATTACAGGGACATGCTTAGTTCGATTGTGCTGAAATTTGAATCACTAATGCGAGATATTGGTCTGAATATAATAAACTATAAAACATATGAAAAGTGAACAGTATAGCGCCCCCTACCTTAGACATGAAATGTCAACATTATCGGACTTGGACCAAAGTCGGGGGTTAAATTCTATGCATGATTATAAGCAAAAATGTCTATTACAGTCATGGTGTATTTTTCACGGTTGGCCAGCAGGGGCACAGAGAATCCTCCAAAAAATATTGTAAAAATTATTATATGCACATGTTTTGTCTGATTGTGATGACATTTCTATCAGTTATACACTGCATGACCCTTATTCCATTGATATGTCAAATACAGTTATCAGGGATACAGCGCCACCTATATGAATGCACACAATTTATTATTGTGTGACATAAAATTTGTTTTACATTCATTTGTAAAACTTTGCCAAAACATTCACTGATGTACTCCTCATCATAAAAGTCAGTAAGACCTGTGCCCTAGTTTTACACTTTGGCCTCTAGAATAATTTCACTTCTGAGAAATTTAAAGGCACACTATGTAACTTTTCTGGTGGAGGATGTGTTTTCATGCTCTTAGTCTTAGTGTGACAGTGCTCTTGACCATTAAAGTCACGTGACCTGTGGCTTAGTGTCTACAGTTTGTCTCTAGAATCATTCACTGTCAGGGAATTTACCCTCAGACATCAAATTACATTAAATAAAGACACACCAAAACGAGACTCTACTCTCCCAGCTCTCCTCCCAACAGCAGCTTTTATTGCAGTCATTTCACAGATAACAACACAGTACATTATGTTATATCACACAACGTTTACAATGATCACATGCTAACAATCTTTAGGCTAAACCACCCTCCCATTTCACACTTGATTACAGGCTCCAGGTGATAAACAATTTGGTCAGTTTTCTCCCAAAAACTTATGCTAACCACATGAGGGAAAAAACCCTTAGCTGTCTTCTCATGGGCGACTCAGTAGATTAGTTTAATGAGTCAGGAGTTCTTGTACTAGGACATATGATATACATATGGAAAAACCCTAAAACGCAATTGTTGATAACTTTACAAATGACAGAAATTCTTTCACATTTCCCTCCTGTTTATCAATATTGCTTTACCTCAGAGTACTAGAACTTCTAAGCAGATTCATGCTCTTCAGCTACATATACTTCAATTCTGTCCAACACCCTTATCAGGAGCAAGCGGATACATAAAATACAACATAACACAAAAAACACTTATACCACTAAGCATTGATGTAACAATGCCCCCTAAAATCTAAATTCACTGCAAGGTGAGAGTGTGTTTTCATGCAGTATCATTTTTTTTTTTTTTTTTTGATATGCTATCAAACTTTCGTTACAAGTTAAAACCCCCTCCCGGTGTTGCCGTATGCTATATTTGCCCCTTTTTTTATTGAAATGAGCGTGTCGTTGCTTAATTTTAAATTTTCAAAACCCCTCAGGAGAGCATCATTTTTCACTGTAACCGTACTTCTTTGTTGTTCCCTTTCTGAGGCTGTGGCTCCGCAGGCTGGATTCAAGGCTGCGTCAGATAATCAGGCTGATGTTGTACAGTCACGTGACCAGTGACTGACCATGTTGCAGTGCCCAAGAAGCAGGGGTTACCAGCCCGTTCTTCTCGTAAAAACACTGTCGCTGCTTAGTAGTGCGAGGTCCTGCGTCTCTCTTACACGTCGAGGTTTCTGGACTCACAGTGACTCAGGTGGATCCACCCGCTCCTCCCTTCGACCTTAACAGTGGTGGGAGTGGTCAGCAACACACGGTGTGGTCCTTTCCTTTCGATCACTGGACCAGCATTTCTGTTTTATCACCTTGATGAACAACAAGGCTCCAACACCGACAGGTGGATGCTGCTGTGAAGAGAGTGGAAGATCCGGCAGGTTATTGTTCTCTGAGCATCTCCAGCCAGTGATGTTTCCTCCATGTACTGGGTTAGATCAGGTACAAAGTCAGGTGTATCTCTTTTACTTCATGGTTTCATTAGTTTGTTCTTACTGTCCCATTTGTGCGTTTCCATGAGTCCAGCCGATTGGGGTCTATACGTGCAATGTCTCTTTAGATCTATTTTTTGATGCTCTCCCAGTCTATGACCTTATTCACAAAATGCGTCCCATTATCACTTCTAATGATTTCTGATATACCCAAGGTGGGAATAATGTGGTTACATCGGGTTTTTGCCACTGTGATTCTATCAGGTTTGGCTGTGGGAAATATTTCAATCCATTTTGAAAAACATCTATTACTCCTAAACAGTAATAAAATCCATATGTAGAGTCTGAAAGGGGGTAGGTTGGTTGAGGAAACTGGCCTCTCTTAGGTCTAAACTTGCAGATTAAACACTGTCTGCAAAAAATGTTTTGAGTAGGTATTAAATCCTATTGTATTAAAGTATTGATTTACTGGTGCCACCATCCCTCCTGTTGAGACATGATATACTTCATGGCTCATGCTCCTTTAAACATGGATTGGTAAAAATGCTTTTTTCATTTGATCCCACATATATCTTTGATCTCTGACCGTTTCTCAACCAAGTCGCCCTTTCAGATGTATTCACTTGCTCTTGTATTATTTGCAAAATACCTTTAGTATCAGTTACTGTTTCTTGTGTGTATATTCCACACTTTTTCTTTCGCTTTCATATCTGCAGATCTATAACTATTTGATATCAAATCTGTTCCTTTTGTTTGCACTTCACATTTTAATTATTGCTAGTTTCTTTGGTAGATGAATAGCATTTAATAGATTTTGAAGAAGTTGTTTGTGAACACTTCTTTGCCTGTGGTGGTTTTGAACCCCCCTCAGCTGCCACTGGCGATGAAAGACATATACTGCACTGAAGTATATTGTCTGTTTGTGTAGATTGTGGCAGGTTTGTCTCTGTACAGTTTACACACTTCAGTCAAGGCTGTTAGTTCTGCTGCCTGTGCTGACAAATTTGAAGGTAATTTTTTTCCGTCTATGTAAATTTGGAGTAAGGTGGCTGGGTTCAGTGCAGTACATCTCTCTATGTTTAGATGCGGTTGTGACAATAATATTGTCATACACGTTAGGTGTCTGGCTGGTGATACAAATGCCATTTTGGTCTGCAGGAGGAGTGCTGCCACTGCATGTGAAACTTTCAGCTGGTGAAACAGCACTGCCTCTGCAGAGGCTGTGATTGCAAAAGCTGCTGCTAATACTTCCTGCACACGATGGGTTATTACTCAATTCAAAGCAATAATATTCCTTAGATTCAAAGTAATTAAATAAAATAACTGTTGCTTTAAGACGACTCAAAGCTTCTCTTTTACCCATTAATTACATTGTTTGAAATTCTTCAACAATATCATTTATTTAACCCATAAATAATATATAAAAGCTACAAGTACTTTTACTCAGTACTAAATGAATAATACCAGGTTTCTAACAAGCCAATACAACCTAGGTTAAAGTTACTCTATCACTTGAATAAAACAAGCCAACATGCTTAATTACATTTTAAACAGAACATTTTCAAACAAATCAGAAATACGCCTTTAACATTTTAGCAATAGTTTAGTGTTTTATCTAAAATCAGAAGGGACCGAAATAACGGCGATTAAACGTGACCCGTATCTAATACAGACTTTTTATTTTAGCGGACTTTTATTTTGGCGACTTTATTTTGGCAGTCTACTTCCTGTCCTGCTGCCGCACTTTTCCCTTCCTTTAGGTACACGCGCTTTTCTTCCCCTCACTCTCAGCTGCGGCTGATGTGTTTTGTCTGTAAAAACTCTCAACAAAGCTCTGGAATTTCTAAATAACAGCGTATTTCAACTGTCCTGTTAAGGTGAGTCTTTTGCCATTATGTGAATAACTCTTATATTAAATTTCAACGGTGTAAAGTGTCGCTAGCATGTTTTATTCGACAAAATCTTCAATTACTCCTTTAACTACCTTTTAACTTCTCTATAGTATGTTTGTTACACAACATTTTAATTTATAAACTCGATCTAACTGTGATCTCTGCCTGGATACTTTTGATTTACACATAATTTACTTAATTCAACTGAACTTTGGATCAATACTAGGATGAATAATTAATTATCAACAATTAATTATATACATTATACCTGGTTTATGTTTTAGTGCCATAACTCTGTATCGTTCCTACGTATGTTACACATACTCTTGATTTAATTCGTTCATAATGTTCATATTAAAGTAACTAAGGTAATTATTTTGAACGATATACTTATTTGTGTTTCTGGCTTCCTAGGTCAGATTTCCCACGGACTGATTCTGTGATATGAAAAACAACCTCAACTCAACAAACTTCCAGATAATGAGCTAAGAGTCTGTGCGGTGGGACAGACTATTTGTTTTGTATTATTGGACCTGGGATTTGTACAAACTGTCTTCAAACTGTAGTTTATAATAAAACAACTGAAAATTAACTACTTTTGTTCATAGACTCTAATTCATTTATTTATTTGTGACTTTACTTTTGTGCTTTATAATCTCATAATTTATCTTTGTCTCTCATTTTACTTTTAATACATTTATAATAATCAACATTTTTGACTGCTGGTTGGTATTATAACCTGTGCTCCTTTAATGAACTTTTTATGTTTCCTATTTTAACACCCTTAGCCGAGCCTCAAAACTAACGTTACATAAATCATAGTCAAAACTTCTCTTACAGATATTTTTAACATGCAATATTCATTTTTCAGCTGAAGCAATCGGGTAAATTTGTCCCTCTACCTTAGGCCTATGTTGGGTAGAGGTCCACTGCTGACCCCTTGGTGTGTTGACAAAAACTTTTGGCAGGAGTAAACAGTGTATGTGGGGTAGCAACATGTTAGGATTCTTCTGTGACTCACACCACTGATGCCCCGTCTCCTAGCAGCGACGTATCTCTAACCTTGACGTTTGGCACAGATTCCCCATCTGCCTGCACTCTTTTGCCAACTTTATTGTTTTTATTTTGTGATGACAGTACATTACCCGTTTGTATGTTAACATCAGTCTGTAACAGTGGTAAAAATCTGTTTGTTAGCTTTGTTTTTGGGTGATATAACGATATTAGTATTGTCTTTTATCACTCGCTGCGCTGGCTTAGTATTTTGTTCTGTACCAAATTTTGAAAAAGACACAGTATCACTCAAGTTTAGTGTAATCTTGTAATGCCAATACAGTTGACTTCATTATGTAACCCAGGTCTTAAAATCGTTCCTAACTGCCTCAAATAAAATATATATTTATTTATATTTTCTACCTGTACGTAACCGCATATAGTCACGTGCCGCTACGCACACACGGCGTGCGATCCGCCAATCAAATCGCTCGCAGCGCCCAATACAAGCCTCCTGTGCCTGCTCTCCCTCATTCAGGAGTTGGGGAGAGGAGCCGCAGGACTGCTGCACAGGTTAGCCACGTAAATTAAACTTTTACTCGTCTTTGATGTATCCGCTCTAAACTAAAATTATAACTTACGTTTTAGAGGTCTCATTACCACCGCAGAGGACGTGTTCTAGCCGCGCAATCAATTCACAGTGGGATTGGTGAGTCTGTTTGTTTGTCTGTTGGTTGCTACCGAGTTGTTAGCATTAGCAACTTGCCGCTAGCATCTTGCACTTGTTGTTGTTTTACCTGCCGATTTTAATTCATATGCAAATGTAACTAATTGCAGGCCATTGTTTCACCTTATGTTGCTTTAACCGATGCATTTAAAGGTCGTTTTTAAGATCTTTAATTACCACTCAAGTGCAATTTGTTAGTGTTTTTTTTGTTTATTGTATCAATGATACACACTTTAAAATAGGAAATATTATTGAATGTGCACTTCATGAATAATTGTGTATACACTAAGACAGAGACTGAGATTTATTTATTGATTAATTAATTGAATATAATATATATATATATATATAGCTAGCTAATTGAATTATTCCTCACGGTCCTGTCTGTTACTACACAGGCCAGGTGTGCCCCAGTGGGTGCAAAACCCCCCCTTCGATGGCGAGCTAGAACAGCCCACGAACCCACGTGAACCATATCATCGTTACCATCACTACCATCATCCCCTTCTGCTGGTCTGGTAGGAGGCTGTACAGCCAGTCGCTCCCCACCCTGTTTCCATTCACTACTCGCTACTCCTACTGTTTTGCGCTTGAGGACAATTCACATTCCCGGTCAAAAAAATTCTGGACTTTACATATTCATTACTACCCCGTGGAAAGCGAGATAGTGACTCTGTGTACTGCTATTGCAGTTAAGGTGTTGGAGAAAATATCACTGGACTGTATTGGTCAAACGTTTTCTTTTCATATGGTTACACATTCAAGAAATTGTAATTGTACCGCAATATTACTGGTATCAAGCTTGATTCCCGAATCTGCAAAATTGTAAATATTGTTTTTTTTGTTATTTACTATTATCACTGTAAATACATGGCACCAGCCACTAAACCATAATTCCTGACTCCATATTATTCTGTCACGCACCTCCCAGAGCCGTTACCTTCATCTTCTGATCTAGCCTACAATAACCTAAATTTCTTTTGGCAAGCATCATCATATATGCTACAATTAGTTCACTTTTTTTTTTTTTTTTTTGATTGCCAAATTTGCCTCATCTGTTCAAGTTACTTTGTGATTCATTTCCCTAGGTTCAGGAAAAATCAAGTCTTGAAGTGGCTTTGCTAGGAGGGTGTAATCCAGTAATCAAGCCCTGTAGCCGTTACACAATCATAAAAAAGCCATCATTTATTAGTGATAGGTTTTGGATTCCCCCTTTTTTTTTGTTTTTTTTGTTTTTTTTGTTAACTTCCTATCAGAGCAATTCTCCCTTGAACGGTTAAGTTATGTCCTAAGTATTTTACTTCGGATCTGCTCTTAGATCTTTCACTAGCCTCCAGCCTATGGAGGGGTCAGTTTTTTTTTGTTTTTCCTATAACTATTGCCTCTGTTTCTGTTCTCTTACTCTCTTCCCGTCCTTGGTCTGGGACTAATCGAGGCGCAGTAGAGGGAGGGTGCTGGGCTGCTGTGCCTTTCTCCCTGCTTCTTTTTTTCTGCTTGTTGTGTATCAATAGCTGATTTATCAGTTCATCAAGTTGCTCTTTCTCAAGTGTAGGTTTAAACCCATATCTTTTCTGCCATTTTTCTAGGTATTTCGTGCTACCTGGAAACTCTTTTTCCATGTGTTTAACCAACTCCTTCTGTTTTTTGAGTACTGCTTTTTCGTCCATGTTAGTTTGGACTATGTGCCGTCGTGAATACAAATGAAGGATGTACAACAGTTTTTTGTATAACAACTGCTCAAGCAAGCTTCTACTCTTTTTACGGAGCGGCTTGAACCTGGGTGTATATCTCACCGTCGTTATACAAATTCAGTCCCCCACTTGTAGACACTAAGGCGGGTTTAGTAACAGAGAAAAAAAAAAAAAAAGTCCAAAACAAGGTCTGTCAGTCGTCCCTAGGTTTTCCTATCTGCTTGGTCGACCCGTACTTCATCCAGTCAGAAAATCACCTTATTCCAACCACGTACTTTTGACCGGGCCTAAAAACATTTCACTACAGTCACCAGTTAAGAAAGCACCTTATCTTAACAATAGTCATCGACTGCCACAGTCTCCTGCGGATACTGTACTGCTCTGTTTCAGTTAGAGCTACTTTACTAACTGGGGTCTCCGCGACCTCTTGCCTAGTCTCAACAGAATGAAGATTATCTACTCACTCGTGTCGTTCTGGTGTTCTTCGTTCGAATTCCGTCGGCAGCTCCAGCGAGGGACGATGGCGTGTACTGGCCACGGGAAAAGTGGACTTAGCGAGGCAGTTACCTTCTCACCACCTCGGCTGTGCACAGTCTTGCAGTCTGCGTCATCGCCTCCACCGGGCTGCACCAGGAAACCGGCTTACGAAGGACCAAGTAAATGTCAGGGAATTTTACCCTAAGACATCAAATTACATTAAATAAAGACACACCAAAACGAGACAGTTAAAAGTAATCACTTGCGCAAGGAGAGAGAGAGAGAGAGAGAGAGAGCTGTCAGAGCCTGTCAATACCACTGGCTGAGCCTCTCTACTCTGCAGCTCTCCTCCCAACAGCAGCTTTTATTGCAGTCATTTCACAGATAACAACACAGTACATTATGTTATATCACACAATGGTTACAATGATCACATACTAACAATCTTTAGGCTAAACCACCCTCCCATTTCACACTTGATTACAGGCTCCAGGTGATAAACAATTTGGTCAGTTTTCTCCCAAAAACTTATGCTAACCACATGAGGGAAAAAACCCTTAGCTGTCTTCTCATGGGCGACTCAGTAGATTAGTTTAATGAGTCAGCAGTTCTTGTACTAGGACATATGACATACATATGGAAAAACCCAAAAACACAATTGTTGATAACTTTATATCACACACACAAAAGATTATGAATTTAAATGATTCATAATATTTAAAATAACACATAAATTCTTTCACACTTACTGACATCGTTCTATTGGTTGAAATATACCCTAGATCCAATTGTTGAAAACCACGCATGTCCACGGTGAACAGGATCCCGCCTGCCTATAGTTGAACTGACTATGAAGTAAAACGCTAACTTAGCATAAGACCGCATGGTTGTCTCGCGTCGCTAGTTATCTTAATGTGCATATCACAGACACGATTATTAGGCGATATTACGGCTTTTTTTTTTAGTTTAAAGCACATACTGGCACCAACAGCATTTATTTCATTCATTAATTCAAATTGTCTTACCTCTTTCAAAGACACTGCCGCCAAAATCAACTAAAACCTGTAGGGAAAAAAACAATAAATGATAAAATAAGCTAGCGAACAGACATAAATAAATTGTATTAAGATTTTTTTGAATCTTTTTAAGACATACGAACCGTGTATAAAGTGAAATACCGCCGCCGATCACGCACTCCCTTTCTGAACTCCGAGTTCGCCAAAAGAGCAAACGTTAACGTTCCAAAAGCAGGCGCGGCTACGTACGACGTCATCACGTACAGACGCCATGATGAGAGCCTCAGGACTCAACTGTCAAATGTACACTGTAGTGTCCAGTAAACCCGTAAAAGACTCCACACCGACGCCGCGCCGGAGCCTAACGCCGACGCCGCGCCGGAGCCTAACGCCGACGCCGCGCCGGAGCCCAACACCCAACAGTGCCACTAATGAACTCCAGCTAGTGCACATATCACCTATTGTACACCACAGTGTTCAGAAAGTATTCTGACAATGACAACTCTGAAAATTCAACACTTCAATTTGCTGTCTATGCACTGAATAATTTGACGGTGGGTGGAGCGTGTTTTTTTTTTTTTTTTCCACACCATCAAATTTTTTTTAATTCAGTGACTCTGGGTGGGGGTGTTACGTTTGGGCACTTTTTGTTTTTTTCCTGCTTTCTTTTTATTGTTTATATTTTTTGTAGCATTTCTGCCTAGTTTTGTTCTTATAAGTTAATTATGTTTTTGTAGTTTTTTTTGGGGCTCATTTCCGGCAGGAGGCCTTAAATGCGCGAGCCCGGCGCCGCCTCGCTCTCTCTCGGTCTCTCCTCCTCCTCGTCCGCCGCAGGTACTGGAGCTCACACCTCGCGCTGGGAGACCTGCTCCATCCTTTGGGGAGCTTTTGTTAGCCGTTAGTCTTTTGTTTGACCTGGTGGGACCGGCTGTCCTGTTTTCGCTTTTCTGTTGGGTTTAGGTTGTTGGTTTTTTTTTTGGTCTTTAGTTCCGGGCGCTGGCACCGGCTCCTACGGCCCTGTACAGGGTTGGCCCGGTGTCACACCCTTTTGTTCTTTTTATCCGGCTCATCAGGTCCACCTTTCTGTTGTTACTTTTGGTTTGGGCACGGGTAGGGTTTCTTTTTTTTTAGGTTTAAACATCTTTGCACAAACAAAAATAAAAGAACTCTAAAATTCTACTTTGGTTTCCGTGTCCTTTCCTAAATATGTTGGGACTCAAATTTTTTGGGTCGTAACACAGATTACAGTTACATTTTTATCTTTCACTGCACATGACTTGTGCACATGATTTGTGCAGCTTGAATCAGGTCCCTTGTAAATAAGTCTTCACATTTTTAATGTGAAATAATATGTGCTCTGTACTTTTAACTTGCTTATAACAACAGAGCACAACATGTAGCTTACATCCAAAATCAATGACGAGATCCAAAAAAACCAAAACAAAAAGCTTACTGTAAGTTACTGATTCCTAAAAAATCAAAAGAGTATCTAACAGGTGTGTTTGGCATAAAGGAATAACTCCACAGATCAGGTCTGTTTTCACTGACCTAGCATCTATAGCTCAGATTGAATTATGTCAGATGCCCTGCCTTCTCTGACTCACACCCATTATAGGCTACCTGTGTGTTAGTGGTCTGTATTCTGGCTCTTTGTCAGCCTTCCACAGCTGCTCTTTGACCTCAGTAGGCAGAGTGTTGAAGAGGTCCTCCTCCACCACCAGCCCGCTCCTCTTCAGCTGCCGGCATTCACCCAGCTCCACAGACAGACACTCCAGACGTTTGGCTCGGAGCTCGAGCTGTGTGAGTGCGCTCAGCTCTCCAAACCGTGAGGGCAGAGAGTGCAGGCAATTGTTTCCCAAGTTCAAAGTGCGTAGCTTTTTACACTGAAACAGCTCATTGGGCAGATTCTCAATCTATAGAGAAAGAAGTAGACACAAACTATTAAGTATGAACCAATTCATTACAAAATACAAAAGATTAAGGCTCTACTCACTCTGTTTGCGGTCACTGCCAGGTACTGGAGGTTTTGGAGGAAGCCAGTGTCTGCTGGAATATTTGTGAAGTTGTTATGGCTCAGGTCCAGGAAGCGCAGCTTGCAGCAGTAGAATAGTTGGCTTGGAATTTTCTCAATTTTGTTCCTGTTCAGGTAAAGTTTCTCCAGATTGGTAAGTGTTCCGATCTGGATAGGGATGTAGGCTATCTGGTTGCACCAGAGCTTAAGGCAGACCAGGCGGTGAAGATGCTGAAAACTGATGATCTCCTCTATAGTCTTTAGGTTGTTGTCTTTCAGATCTAATTCCTGCAAATTGTGCAAACTAAAAATTGAATGTGGGATGCGTTCTAAATCACAGCGAATGAGCTCCAGCTCTGAGAGGTTGACCATCTTTTTAAGACTATTCAGCACCATGTTCTTGGTTCCCTCGTTGTTGATGGACAGCTTCTGGAGGTGCAAGCCTACATCCGTCACCACTTGAGGTAGCTTTGTCTGATTGCTCTTTAATCTTAGGACTTTGAGCCTTTTGAGCTCGCGAAGCCCATCAATAACAATGTAGCGATTGTTCTCCGAGCTGAGATTCCCCGTCAAGTGCAGCTCACTCAGGTTCTTCAAACTGTAAATCCACAGTGGGATTTCTTTGATGTCAGTGAACTTTATGTGCAAAGACTTTAAATTCTTTCGCAGAAAAGCTAGTGCAGGGGCCTCAGTCTTGGCTGGAGTGTGGTAAAGCCACATCTCGCGTAGGTTGATGAGTTGTGCAACGATTGGAGGAATAGTTACATCTGGAATAAGCTCCAGTTTAAGGACCTCTAATTCCATTAAGTCAAACACTGTGTCGGGAATACCACTGAGCATAAAAAGGTGCAACTCCAGTTTGTCCTGAAAATTTTTGGTGATCCTCTGCCTTAGCTTATCCAACGTCCACTCGTTGTTGAGGTTGAGCTGCCTCAGTTTGTTCTCGCTCACCTCAGACAGGAACACAGCAAAGCGCTCGGAATACAGAGGATCATACTGGTCAACCATGTGCAACATAAAAGCAAAGTCATTCTTCACATCAGGTATGTCACTATAGCTGCTTTCTTCACGTATGGACTCAAAGGAATATTTTTTTTTTAGAGGGCGCCGCAGCATCCAGCAAAGAGTATACATGCAAATTAGGCCATACACAACCACTAAGCTAATGTAAAAGCAGGCTAAGATCTTAAAAAGTGTCGCCAGGGGATGTGCACAACGATACATTCCTGTAACGCGTCAAGCTTTCAATGTCCACCAAACAGTCAACACTAAATTTTATCTCATGCACATAATACCCTGTGTAGCAGATGATCAAAATAAACTTGATGACCTTAATAATAGTCTGACGAATGTACAGCCTGTACACAATATCTCCTTCTTCCACATGGATACGAAACTTCATTTTTTCAAACAAAGATTTTGCCTGCTTCCCCTCTTTTTTGTCTAGAATTCCTGTTTCAGTTCGATCTACAATGCCCTGCTCAATGCGCGTTTTAGTCCTTTGGAGCATAGGAACTCATATATAACCCATTATAACTCACATATAACCCATTATAACTAACATATAACTCATTATAACTCATATGTAACCCATTATAACTCACATATAACCCATTATAACTAACATATAACTCATTATAACTCATATATAACCCATTATAACTCACATATAACTCATTATAACTAACATATAACTCATATATAACTCATATGTAACCCATTATAACTCACATATAACATTATAATCCATATATATAACATATAACCCATTATAACTCATATATAACTCATATGTAACCCATTATAACTCACATATAACTCATTATAACTCACATATAATCCATTATAACTCAACTCACATATAACCCATTATAACTCTCATATCATATAACCATTATAACTCATTATAACATATAATCCATTATAACTCACATATAACTCACTATTATAACTCATATTATAACCCATTATAACTCATATCATATAACTCATGTAACCCATTATAACTCACATATAACTCATATATATAACTAACCATTATAACTCATTATAACTCATTATAACTCATAATAACCCATTATAACTCACATTATAACTCATTATAACTCATTATAACTCACATTATAACTCACATATAACCATTATAACCATTATAACATATAACATATAACTCATTATAACTCATATGTAACCCATTATAACTCCATTATAACTCACATATAACTCATTATAACTCACATATAACTCATTATAACTCATATGTAACCCATTATAACTCACATATAATCCATTATAACTCACATATAACTCATCATAACTCACATATAACTCATTATAACTCATATGTAAACCATTATAACTCACATATAACTCATATAACTATATAACTATCAATATAACTCATTTATAACTCACATATAATCCATATATAATTATAACTCACATATAACTCATTATAACTCACATATGTATAACCATATGTAACCCATTATAACTCACATATAACCCATATATCATATAACATAACTCATTATAACTCATTATAACTCACATATAATCCATTATAACTCACATATAACCCATTATAACTCACATATAACCCATTATAACTCACATATAACCCACTGTCTGTAACCAGGACAGTTTGATAGTGTTTGGTGTAAACTTGGACATTTCAGTGTCCCGAGGAACTTTTGGTCACATTTCATGTGAGAAATGCAGCTGAGATGAAGGTTCAGACTGACTGATGCTCGCTGTGGCTGTAGCCGTGAATGTTTTAATCTAAACATGCAGAAAACACTGATATTTGCTAATTATCCCTGGGATAACATTATGTCTGATGTTTCCAACTGGCTCCACTATGTTATTTAAGATATCGGTGCAGTTTCCCGTTCAGAGGAGCTGTTTCTACACAATATTACACAGCAGCGTTCGGTTCACGAATTCAATGTGGCAAGACAAAACATTTTTACAATAAATTTTAATTAAGCCACTTGTTGTTCTGTTGTAGCTCCTTGTTGTGGCATTCCTCTGTTTTTACTCTGATACAAACTTGAGCTGCACAGTCTTGATCTCGATCCATGTTTCTTCTGCTCGATGAATAATGTCTGTGAAGTGATGACGTATTTTTGACAGTAAAGTTCCGTCTGTGAATTCGTGTTCGTACTGATGAAAGCGTAATCGTAATTTTCATTTCGCGATTATAATTCTTGACGTCGTAACTTTTCAATTCGTATTCTGATGGATAAAATACACACAATATATTTTATGTACGACTGGATTCATTCGAGAGTTTACAAATATTTATTTTACGCGCAACTACAACCAAATACGCACGGATTTTTTTTCTATGCGCACGAATATTTCTGAAAACTTTCTTACTCCATAGGAAATCACTTTTTGCTGCACCCTGTCGCTTTTAACCCACTTGTCTTCGTCACTGATTTATGCAAATACGAGTGTGGTTCCGCCCCGCGTCCGAAGTGCGCGCGCAGATTGAGAAGCGTGTTAAAGGGCACCGCTCCTCCCCGCGGCGCCTTCACGCAGCGACGCCGGTTTTTTTTTTTTTTTTTTTTTTTTTTTTCCTCTCCTGTCTGTCCCGGTTTCACCTCCGTGCCCTTCTGACCCGGTTTTCGCGCAGGTTCCGACCCGAAGATGGAGACGCAGAGACGCACGGTGATCTGGGCGACGTACGTGATCGCGGCTCTGGACATTACGTGGATGTTTCTGGAGTTTTCAGTGACTCCCGTGAGTAAAACGCAAACGAACTAAACTAACTAAACTAAAATAACTAAATAAATGTGTTTGTACGTGACCTGTCATGACGTAAGAGAGGAGTCCGGGTTTACGGAGGCGCAGTGAACGGAGCATGTTTCCTCTGGTTTCTTCTGGAGAGAAAGAAGCAGAATGTGGCCTCCAGCACGTGACGAGTTAATTATGATATAATAAACTGACAGTAAAACAAGTGTCAGAGTCACTAAAACAGAACAGTTTGTGATTAAAGCTCAAATATCACGCAAAACTGACTCTTTGTGACGTTTAAGTCCTGTTCTAATCTTGTTTGCTCTTCAAAAACAGACCTGGACTTGTGTTTTATTTCATTTACACATGTTTGAGTAAATCTTTATTATTCGTCTGTTTGTGTGTGTATGTGTAGTGTGTATGTGTGAACAGCTCCTTTTACCTTTAGTCCAGTAGAGATCAGCAGTTCTAGGAAATGATCCAAATGAATTTAGTGAAGGTGTTTTTGAATTTAAAAGCTCAGGGGAGCCAAAACTTGAAAAAAAAATTAAATATACATAAAGTCAGGAGAGTCAAACTCTAATTCAGAGAGGCCGAAATTAAAAACTGGGACTAAGTCGTGGGACAAACTAAATATTTATTGAAAAATTTCACCAACATTTGTATGTTTTCTCTTCTTTCCAGATCTGTAACGTTAACCCTTTTCTTATTAAAATAAATGTTTAATAATAGTTTTGCTTAAACATTGAATCCAGAACAAACAGAATATCAAATAATAATATTTTAAATAAATAAATGTCTTTATAGTCGATCTGGAGCCGCTGGCAGCTCTGACACAGATTCGACATGTCTGATTTAGATTCACTCATTTATTTATTACATTTATAATCGTTTCACACGTGTGTACGGAGGGAAATGTAACGTACGTCTGAGCTTGAACAAGAACCGAATCTGTTTTCTCTTCACCACATGGCAAAAAACAAAACCAAACATCCAATTCAGACATTAAAAACAAACAGAAAAGGAAATGTTCAGAAAGGTTTCTGAGTTCTAAATGCATCAAAGAGAATTTAGTTTGGTCCTAAAATAAACCTGGTTGGTGTTACTCCCCTCGAGTTTAAACAAGACTCAGAATCGTTCTTTAGTTTTAATGAGTGTTTACTCGGACATGAGTCTTTCACGTCTTCACATGTAAATTAACCTCAGTGCCGACGCCGTCAGAACTACAGAAAAGAAAAAATTAAACTTAAAATCAACCCTCGGACACAAAACACGGACTAAAACATAATCACACAATAAAATAACACAAAATGTTTCTCTTTGGCCACATCTACTCAAAGGGAATAAAGTCTTATCCTTTTGAAAAATTTAAAATTTAAAATAAAAGACGGTGCACCTGTAAAAACTTCCCCTCAAAAAAATATGTAATTCAAAGTGGAACAAATCAAACCAAAATAAAATATAATTACTTAAAATGAACTTACTGAAAAAATAACTTATTTATGGTATATTGATTTCTAAATATTTTACTGTTTGTCAATATGAATATTATAAAACATGAACTTAAATGTGTGACCTTTGCCACTGACGCAGCTGCAACTGGGTCCAATAAAACGACCACGAAGGCCCAAAGTATCAAATATGATACAGTTTTATGTATGAAAACACAGGAGGCGTTGTGTCTTTAGGCAAGACACTTCACCCACATTGCCGAGTATGAAAGTGGTGTGTGTGTGTGTGTGTGTGTAGTGTGTGTGTGTGTGTGTGTGTGTGTGTGTGTGTGTGTGTAGTGTGTGTGTGTGTGTGTGTATGTGTGTGTGTGTGTGCGTGTGTGTGTGTGTGTGTGTAGTGTGTGTGTGTGTGTGTGTGTGTGTGTGTGTGTGTGTGTAGTGTGTGTGTGTGTAGTGTGTGTGTGTGTGTAGTGTGTGTGTAGTGTGTGTGTGTGTGTGTGTGTAGTGTGTGTGTGTGTGTAGTGTGTGTGTGTGTGTGTGTGTGTGTGTGTGTGTGTGTGTGTGTGTGTGTGTAGTGTGTGTGTGTGTGTGTGTGTGTGTGTGTGTGTGTGTGTGTGTAGTGTGTGTGTGTGTGTGTGTGTGTGTGTGTGTAGTGTGTGTGTGTGTGTGTAGTGTGTGTGTGTGTGTAGTGTGTGTGTGTAGTGTGTGTGTGTGTGTGTGTGTGTGTGTAGTGTGTGTGTGTGTGTGTGTGTGTGTGTGTGTGTGTGTGTGTGTAGTGTGTGTGTGTGTGTGTGTGTGTGTAGTGTGTGTGTGTGTGTAGTGTGTGTGTGTAGTGTGTGTGTGTGTGTGTGTGTGTGTAGTGTGTGTGTGTGTGTGTGTGTGTGTGTGTGTGTGTGTGTGTGTGTGTGTGTGTAGGCGCTATATAAATACAATCAATCAATCAAAGTGATCTTTTTTTTACATTTTGTTGAAAGGTCCGATAAAAAGTTAAATATCAAAGAATCTGAATTTTCTGTTTATTATTTCATGTGTTTTGGTCTGACGACTCATGAACAGTGACTCTGTGCTGCCCTCTGCTGGACATGTGGTGTGTGTGTGTGTGTGTGTGTGTAGTGTGTGTGTGTGTGTGTGTGTGTGTGTGTGTGTGTGTGTGTGTGTGTGTGTGTCTCCCACATGTTGACTTGTGGCTGGAGGAAAAAAAAAAAAAAAACATCAGGAGAATTAATTTAATCACAAACAGAAATAATCACATTAAACTTTTGTGGATTTGACTTTTGGAGATTTTTAATAAAAACACCAGAGTTTGACACAGAATCCTGCTCCTGCTCCACGAGACAGAATCTGTGTTTCATTCATTTATTCATTTTTCAAAATAAAACCAAAAATAAGAAAACAAACAACAACAACAACAAAAAAAACCAAAATAATTTTCATTATTTGCCTCCAAAACCAAAATGAAAAAACAGATAAAGATTTGTTTTTTTCAGTTTTCGATTTTGTGTTTAAACAAAAAATGGAAAAAAAAAAAAAAGGACTAAACCAGGACTAAACCAGGACTGAACCAGGTCTGAACCAGGACTAAATCAGGACTAAACCAGGACTGAACCAGGTCTGAACCAGGACTGAACCAAAACTGAACCAGGACTAAACCAGGACTAAATCAGGACTAAACCAAGACTGAACCAGGACTAAAGCAGGACTGAACCAAGACTGAACCAGGACTAAAGCAGGACTGAACCAGGACTAAAGCAGGACTGAACCAGGACTAAACCAAAACTGAACCAGGACTAAACCAGGACTAAATCAGGACTGAACCAAGACTGAACCAGGACTAAACCAGGACTGAACCAGGACTAAAGCAGGACTGAACCAGGACTAAAGCAGGACTGAACCAGGACTAAAGCAGGACTGAACCAGGATTAAAGCAGGACTGAACCAGGACTAAACCAGGACTAAAGCAGGACTGAACCAGGACTGAAACCAGGACTGAACCAGGACTGAACCAGGACTGAACCAGGACTAAAGCAGGACTAAAGCAGGACTGAACCAGGACTGAACCAGGACTGAACCAGGACTGAACCAGGACTGAACCAGGACTAAACCAGGACTAAACCAGGACTAAACCAGGACTGAACCAGGACTGAACCTGAACTAAAGCAGAACTAAAAAACATATGGGACCAGACCTGAACCAAGGCGGGACTGAGACCGGGACCAGATCAGGACTGAAATGATTTAGTCCTGGTTCAGTCCTGGTTTAGTCCTGGTTCAGTCCTGGTTTAGTCCTGCTTTAGTCCTGGTTTAGACCGTTTTTTTTTTCCATTTTTCACTTAAACAGAAAACTGAAAACTGAAAAAAAGAATCATTATCAGTTTTTTTTTTTGTTTGTTTGTTTTGTTTTTTTCATTTTGCTTTTGGAGTCAAATAATAAAGAAATATGTTGTTTTTTCGTTTTATTATTTTTGATTTTATTTGGAAAAACAAACGAACACATGACACACGGGTTACAGAGGCGCACTCCGTTTCTCACTCCAACTGTGTGGAAACTCGGAAGGAGAAGTTCCCCGTTTCCTGCGCGCTCCTGAACGCGTCTCCGGGCGGTAGTGTTTCTTTTTCTGCTCAGCTCCACTCGCTCTTTCTCACGTTTCTCATTCTGGAGTCACTTTCTGCTGCGCCCTGTCGCTTTTACCCCACTTCTCTGCGCGGGTTTAGTCACCGATTTATGCAAATACGAGTCTGGGTCCGCCCCGCGTCCAAAGTGCGCGCTCGCGGGTTGAGAAGCATGTTAAAGGGCACCGCTCCTCCCCGCGGCGCCTTTCCCTCTCCTGCCTGCCCCGGTTTTACCTCGGTGCCGTTCTGACCCGGTTTCCGCGCAGGTTCCGACCCGAAAATGGAGCGTGCCGGCGGCGGAGCGGAGCCGAGCCGCGCGCAGAGACGCACGGTGATCTGGGCCACGTACGCCATCGCGACTCTGGACATTACGTGGATGTTTCTGCAGTTTTCAGTGACTCCCGTGAGTAAAACGCAAACGAACGCGACTAAAAACTGTTTTTGTGTTTGTACGTGTGTGCGTGACCTGTCATGACGTAAGAGAGGAGTCCGGGTTTTACGGAGGCGCAGTGAACGGAGCATGTTTCCTCTGTGGTTTCTTCTGGGGAGAAAGAAGCAGAATGTGGCCTCCAGCACGTGACGAGTTAATTATGATATAATAGAGTCACTGAGTCTGTGAAGTTTAAATCCTATTATAATCTTGTTCTCTCGTCAAAAACAGACCTGGACTTGTGTTTTATTTCATTTACACATGTTTGAGTAAATCTTTATTATTCGTCTGTTTACATCCCCAACCCTCTAAACGCTCTGTTCCACCTTGTGATGTCGTGACGTGGTAGTTTTCAAGTGAACAGCTCTTTTTACCTTTAGTCCAGTAGAGATCAGCAGTTCTAGGAAATGATCCAAATGATTCTAGTGAACTGGGATTAAGTCGTCGGCCAAACTAAATTTATTTTTTTTAAAAATTTCACCAACATCTGTATGTTTTTTCTTCTTACGAGATCTGTAATGTTAAACCTTTTCTTATTAAAATAAATTGTTAATAATAGTTTTGTTTAAACATTGAATCCAGAACAAACAGAATATCAAATAATAATATTTTAATTAAATCATGTCTCTATAGCCAATCTGTAGCTCTGATCTAATATGATCTAATTTGATCTAATATGATCTCGTGGGACAAATATAATTATATCATGGGCCAAATTTGGCCCCTGGGCCTGAGTTTAACATGTCTGCAGTAAAACAACTGTGTGAGATAAAAACAGAGCAGTTTGTGATTAAAGGTCCAATCTTGTGATGTCATGACGTGGTTTTCAAGTGAACAGCTCCTTTTACCTTTAGTCCAGTAGAGATCAGCAGTTCCAGGAAATGATCCAAATGATTCTTATTCTTATTTATTTTATTTGTAAAGGGACAGTTTATATTAATGAACATAAAAAATGTAAATATGTAAAGATTAAAGCCAACGTGGCTCATTTCCATCTTCAGTCCCTCGACAGGTCGAAGTAAAATCATCTACAGGACGAAGGAAAGTACAACAACAATCAACAAAAGTACACAACACCAGCACACACAATATACACACAACACACACTGTACACACAACACACTCACCGTACACACAACACACTCACTATACACACAACACACTCACGTACACACACACACACTCACACTACACACAACACACTCACACGTACACACAACACACTCACTGTACACACAACACACTCACTATACACACAACACACACGTACACACAACACACTCACTAACACACACACACTCATACACACAACACACTCACGTACACACAACACTCACTGTACACACAACACACTCACTGTACACACAACACACTCACTATACACACAACACACTCACCGTACACACAACACACTCACCGTACACACAACACACTCACTATACACACAACACACTCACCGTACACACACACACACTACACACACACACACACACACACACACACACACACTCACTGTACACACAACACACTCACCGTACACACAACACACTCACTATACACACAACACACTCACTGTACACACAACACACTCACTATACACACACACACACTGTACACACACACACACATACACACACACACTCACGTACACACAACACACTCACTGTACACACACACACACATACACACAACACACTCACTGTACACACACAACACACTCACTATACACACAACACACTCACCGTACACACAACACACACTCACCATAACACACAACACACTCACTGTACACACACACACACACTCACTGTACACACAACACACTCACTACACACAACACACTCACTGTACACACAACACACTCACTATACACACACACACTCACTGTACACACACAACACACTCACTACACACAACACACTCACTATAAACACAACACACTCACTGTACACACAACACACTCACCGTACACACAACACACACTGTACACACAACACACTCACCGTACACACAACACACTCACTGTACACACAACACACTCACTATACACACACAACACACACACACACTATACACACAACACACTCACCGTACACACAACACACTCACTGTACACACAACACACTCACTACACACAACACACTGTACACACACAACACACTCACTGTACACACAACACACTCACTATAAACACAACACACTCACTATACACACAACACACACACTATACACACAACACACTCACTATACACACAACACACTCACTATAAACACAACACACTCACTATAAACACAACACACTCACTATACACACAACACACACACTATACACACAACAACACACTCACCGTACACACACACACTCACTATACACACAACACACTCACTATAAACACAACACACTCACTATACACACAACACACTCACCGTACACACAACACACTCACACACACACACTCACTAAACACAACACACTCACTATACACACAACACACTCACCGTACACACAACACACTCACTGTACACACAACACACTCACACTATACACACAACACACTCACTATACACACAACACACTCACTATACACACAACACACTCACTACACACAACACACTCACGTACACACAACACACTCACTATACACACAACACACACACTATACACACAACACTCACTCACAACAACACACAACACACAACACACTCACATACACACACAACAACACACTATACACACAACACACTCACTATAAACACAACACACTCACTATACACACAACACACTCACTATACACACACACACTCACTATACACACAACACACACACTATACACACAACACACTCACTATAAACACAAACACACTCACTATACACACACACACACTCACACAACAACACACTCACTATACACACAACACACTCACTGTACACACAACACACTCACGTACACACACAACACACACACACTATACACACAACACACTCACACAACAACACACTCACTGTACACACAACACACTCACTAACACACAACAACAACCTGTTCAAAAAACTCAAAACACACAAACACACCACTAAACACAACACACCAGTATAAAACACAACACACGTCACATACACACAACACAGTCACATACGACAAACACTCAGTGTTAAAAGAAAAGCTGCAGTGTACAACAACACTCTCATGTCCACATTTGAGCTGCTCAATAAGCAAAAATTCTCGTGAAGACGTGTGGAGTTTAAAAACTCAGAGGAGCCAAGACTTGAAAAAATGTAATATACATAAAGTCAGGAGAGTCAAAGTCAAACTCACAGAGGCCAAAATTAAAAACTGGGACTAAGTCATGGACCAAACTAAATATTTATTGAAAAATTTCACCAACATCTGCATATTTTCTCTTCTTTGGAGTCATGTAATGTTAAACTTTTTCTTATTCAAATAAATTGTTAATAAACGTTTTGCTTAAACATTGAATCCAGAAAAAGCAAAATATAAAATCATAATATTTTAAATAAATCATGTCTCTATAGTCGATCTGTGTGTGGATCTAATACAGATTTAATTTGATCTCGTGGGACAAATATAATTATATCATGGGCCAAATTTGGCCCCCGGGCCTGAGTTTAACATGTCTGCAGTAAAACAACTGTGTGAGATAAACACAGAGCAGTTTGTGATTAAAACTGACTCTTTGTGAGGTTTAAGTCAGGTTCACATGTTGTTTCCTCGTCACAGACCTGGATTTGTGTTTTGTGTTTTGTTTCGTTCACATGTTTTTTGTCACGACTTCTTCTATTGTGACGTCATGCGGTGATACAGGAAATGCTCCACTGTGTTTTTAAACTCCAGCCCTGGAACTGCTGATCTCTACTGAACTAAAGGTGAAAGGAGCTGTGAAACCTGAAAAATACCACATCATGACATCACACGGTGGAACAGAGCGTTTAGGGTTATAGATGTAAACAGACGAATAATAAAGATTTACTCAAACATGTGAAGGAAATAAAACAAGTCCAGTGTCGAGGATCATCTTTGACTTTGTTTTCTCCTTGTTACTAATTTAACTTTTTCAAAAAACAAAGAATGAATCATTCCTTCTTTTAAATCAAACACAGAACATCATGTTCTAAAACATTTTATATTGTTTTTTAAACAAAAAATACAAATTAATGATTATACATTTTTATATTATTTATGCAAATATGTAAACTTTATGAAATGGTGCTTCCATCCAGGTCTGTTTTTGAAGCAGTTAGAACTTAAAGCATTAGTGAAGCTAAAGAAAAAAAAGTTAAAGAATAAAGTCCAAAAATTAAAAATAAAAACTACTTTAAAAAGTTAAATGAAATGAAAAAAGTAATTTTTTTAAAACAAAATAAAATAAATACATTTTCAAAAATAATTACATAAAAAAAGTTTAAAAAAAATTAATTAAAGTTAAAAAATTAAAAAAGTTTTAAAAAAAAAGTTAAAAATAAAGTTAAAGAACTTAAAGCGTTATAACTTAAACCTGATGAGTCTCTTTTGTGTAATATTGAACCTTTGAGTCTAAAAGTGTTGAAAGTTTAATAAACCTGAACACGATTTGAGTTATTTTTTTGGTTTTGTATTGACAAACTTTTCATTTTTCTCAGTTTTTGGCGAAGAAGTTGGGCTTTGACACGCTGTGGTTCGGATACCTGCAGACGCTGGTGGGAGTTTTGCAGCTCATCGGAAATCCGCTGTTTGGGAGGTACAAAATATCAACTTTATTCAGAATATTTATTTGAGCTTGCACTTTCTAATGTGGCAATTCTTATCATAAAGGGAAAGAAAAACATTATGTCGAGGAAAAAAAAAAACTGGAGTATAAAGTCCTGCTTTTAAACGAACTACAGATATTTTTTGGTCCAGAATCATTTGTTTATTAAATGTGACGAGTATGAAATATAAAAATGATTGTTTTGCTCTGAGGAATGTTCTCATGTGGATCAGTTTCACTCACTTTGGACTTTGTGCTCAATATGATCTGAGTAATTCACAATAAATGCAAAGACAAAGACAAAAACACACAGTCACTTTCAGACACATGTACCGTATTTTTCGGATTATATGTCGCACTTTTGTGTTTCCTGCGACTTCTGTATTAAAATGTTTTTCGTGAAGTGTGGAGAGGTTCTAGTCTTGTGTGTGAGTATCTGCTGCTCCTGTTCCTCCTGCACCACTAAACTTATAAAGACAAAGACTGAGAAGACTGAACACAAATGCCCCAAAAACAATATCAGATTCTGCAGATTTACAAACTGCAAGTCGAGAAATCTGCAGCTGAAAACAATAATCGAGCAGCAGAAAGAAAGTTTGGAGTGAGAGAGAAACTTGTGAGAAACTTAAATAAAATAATGAAACAGAGTGAGTCTGTTTGGTGTCTGTCTTCTACAGAACACCTCATTTTCCGTGTCTTCCTGAAAAATAACTCCAGCGCCTGATCATAAGGGACCTCCTCAGGTTCTGGACCACGTGACCCCTGGACCACCGGGATTCGTTACAGCTGTGAGTGTCAGGACGGGTCTGGAGGTGTGTCTGTGTAGACATCAGGTGACCACGAGCAAAAGGACCAACACAGATCTCCACGGCCCACAGGACAAAACGCAGCAGTCGCACTTTACAAACACGCAGCTCCACAGGTGCTGGCCACACCAGCTCGTCAAAGCCTGATCCCGTCAGATCTCAGACACTCAGCAGGTCGGACCTGGTCAGGACTTGGATGGGAAACACTGGGAATTCCACAGGAGGCGCCAGTTACAAAAAAAAAAAACTGTCGCTGTGTCCTGCGGCAAGACACTTCACCCACATTGCCTAGTATGAAAGTGTTGTGTGTGTGAGTGATGGTGGTGGTCGGAGGGGCCGATGGTGCAGATTGGCAGCCTCGCTTCCGTCAGTCTGCCCCAGGGCAGCTGTGGCTACAATAGTAGTTTACCACCTGAGTGTGGAGAGAATGAATAATGAACTGTAAAGTGCTTTGGGGATCTTGAAAGGCGATGTATAAATACAATCAATCACGGACTCGGGGTCGTGTCCCACTGCGGCAAGAGTCGGTCCGAAGAGCAAATAGTCAAAGCAACAAAGTCTGGACTTCAGTGACACCGAAACCATCCTGTCGGGATTCAGAAAGACCCGAATAATTCTAACTGGAACTGACGCTGAGTCTGACGACAGCGACACAGAAGAGGAAGCGGCGCTCGGTTTCCCTCCGGAGGTCGAGGACGAGTTGTTCAGAAGTGACACCGAGGATGAAGAATTGAATGGATAATGGACTTGACTTTCAACAGGAAATGTCTGTTCCTGGTTTCTGATTTTATCAAGTGTGACTTATATGTTTTTTTTCTTCTTCATTATGCATTTTTTTGGCTGGTGCGACTTATACTCCGAAAAATACGGTAATCGCCCACACAGCCACACTGGCACACAGCACAGACACATCTCAGCTACAGAAGTGGAGATGAAGACAGACTAAAAATAAAGAGTTACTCAAACACGTGTGACTGAAACAAAACACAAAAACTCAACTCCAGGTTTGTTTTTGAGGAGGGAACAACATTATAATACGGCTTAAATCTCACAAGAGTCAGTCAGTTTTGTGTTATATGGGACCTTTAAATCCATTCTGTATTTTTTCTTGAGTCTTAAAACCTTTTTGACAGTGTTTGCTTATGTGTGTATTGTGTCACCACGGTAACTGCTGAACATTCCAGCCATAGGCGTACATGTAGAACCCTCCGTCTCTCTGCAGGTTCGGGGATCTGTTCGGGGCCAAGGCGGCTCTGACTCTGTCCTGCGGAGCCAACGTCGTCTTCTTCCTGCTCCTGGCCTCGGCGGAACATCCCGTCATGCTCTTCATCCACAAACTGCCCACGCTCTTCATGCACGTTCTGCCCGGTAACACAGCAGCCAATCACAAAACACACGCACAGAAACAGGCTTCGGTAATAACGCCAATCCTTACCTATCTCATTTTATTGTTTATTAATTATTATTATTTATTTATTTTTATTTTAGTATTATTACTTTTTATATATATTATCTATATCCATTTATTAATTCATGTTTCTCTACTAATTTTTAATTAATATATTTATTTTTTATTTATCTATATTATTTTATTTATTTATTATTGTTGTGTGTATGTATATATATACATATATTATTTATATTTTATTTTATTCGTTTTAAGTACATATGGTCACCAAATATAAATCAAAGACTCACCTGCGATTGATGGATTGTGTTGTGCAAGTATTGCATAGTGAATGTGTGAATGTGTATGAGTGTGTGAGTGTGTGGAATTAGTTATTTGTTATTATTATTATCATTATCTTTATTTTATTTTATTTATTCATTTTATTATTATTATTATTTTTATTTATTTATTATTATTATTATTTTTTTAATTAATTTATTTTATTTTTGGTTATATGTTGACCTGTGTTAACGTGGTCAGTTGTTCAGATGGAATTTTTATTGTCTGAAAATTAATAAAAAAAATACTTAGAAAAAAATAAATAAATAAAATAATGCCAATCCTGCTCAGGTTTTCAAAGTGTTTGCACGGCTGAGAAAGAAGCGGCGTATTACAGACGAGTGTGAGTTGAACGATGAGTAGAGTGTGTGTGTGTGTGTGTGTTGGGCCTTCATACAGGGTGGAAGGGGCATGTGCATGTAGTTAGGTTGTTTTTAGTATTTCAACAATTGCCCCGTTTACATGAGAGCTTTAATTCTGATTAAAAATTATTTAATTTGGAATAAAAATGTATTCCGCTCTAAAAAGACAGACTAAACACTTAATTCCTAATGATTATTCAGAATTAAACTTAAATCCGAATTAAAGGTTGTATAGAGGATTTTCCAAGGAACGAGAAATCCAGCGACTGTTTGTCCTTTTTCAAATGTTGCTCATGCGTGAAACCACCTCCCCTCCCCTACAGCTCCTACGTAGAAACACCTCCTCCCTCCTCCTCCTTACGCCACAAACAGGTTTGTTTACAGCCGGTGAACTGCACATGACTTCGTAAACAACTAACTACAGTGTTGGTTAGTCAAGACGAAGAAGTGAGGAGCAGGAAAGGGGTGCAGGAAGGTTGCGTGGAGATTCAGTGTGAATGAACTAGCTACAACACGCAGCAGCAAGCGGACTCTTTCTTTGCCTTGAAAATGACGTTTTCAGACATAGGATATCGCTTTCGTGTCCTGAAAAACGTTTGTCTCCCTCTTGGAAATAAAGTACGTTTTCATAATAAGCAGAAGTTTCCTGTCCAGGAGTAATTTATGGACCAGTGGTTCAGTCTTTAGACCCTTCGTCTGCTTCAGTCGCGCCATCGCTGGAATGAATCTTCAAGAATCACCTTAGTTTGGCTTCGCTGCTTTTCCCCTTGTCTTCTTCTTTCACCTCAAAAACGGACTTTCTTTTGCGGCGAACTGCTCCTGGATTCTTGTCGCCATCGCAACAAACTTTGTGCGAACTGCAAGGAAGATATAGGTCAAAAAAAGCCGCTAAGAACTGTTGTTGTCTGTGGACTGTGTGACAGACGTACGTAAACCACGTACCGGCGGCGCAGGCAAGTCAGTTACGCTAGAAACGTAGGGAGTTTGATTGACAGCCTGTCAGCTCACAGATAACGAGGCAGTGTCGTTATCTACTGGCAAATGTGTTCAGCCCCACCACGTCCAGAGTTGATGAATTTTTATTCTCTTTTTTTTGGTCATCATAATTACAAGGCGACTGCATCTATAATCTATCACTGACAATTTGAAACAAAAAAAATCCTCCATACAACCTTTAAGTGGGTTTATTCCAATTTAATTTTTTTTTTTTTTTTTTTTATTCCGCGATCATGTAAATGTTTATTCCACTTAAAAAATGATTCCGGTCGTTGGATCACCCGTCTGAAGGGGGCGTTCACACCAGAGCGTCAAAGCGTCCAGTTTCTATGTAAAGTCGATGTGGACGCGCGACTAGAGCGTCCTGTGTTTCTGCGGCGCGTCTTCGGGCATCAGCACAGCGAGAATCTGGCGTCAGCGTCAAGAAGTTGAAAATGCTGAACTTTTCGCGTCAGACACGCAGCGTCAACCAATCAGGGACGAGTATCCAGAGACGAGTAGTGAGAGCCACAAACATGAGCGGAGCATAAATATATCCACTACAATCACCGAGCCGATCGCCAGGACCTGACCAGGACTAAACCAGGACTACACCAGGACTACACCAGGACTACACCAGGACTACACCAGGACTACACCAGGACTAAACCAGGACTACACCAGGACTACACCAGGACTACACCAGGACTACACCAGGACTACACCAGGACTACACCAGGACCGGACCAGGACTACACCAGGACTACACCAGGACTACACCAGGACAGACTAAACCAGGACTACACCAGGACTAAACCAGGACTACACCAGGACTACACCAGGACTAAACCAGGACCTGACCAGGACTAAACCAGGACCTGACCAGGACTAAACCAGGACTACACCAGGACTAAACCAGGACCTGACCAGGACTACACCAGGACCTGACCAGGACTACACCAGGACCTACCAGGACTAAACAGGACTACACCAGGACCTGACCAGGACTAAAACCAGGACTACACCAGGACCTGACCAGGACTAAACCAGGACTACACCAGGACCTGACCAGGACTAAACCAGGACTAAACAAGGACTAGACTGGACTAAACCAGGACTAGACTGAGACTAGACTGTGACTAAACAAGGACTAGACTGTGACTAACAAGGACTAGACTGGGACTAAACAAGACTAGACTGGGACTAAAACAAGGACTACGACTAAACAAGGGACTAGACTGGGACTAAACAAGGGTAGACTGGGACTAAACAAGGGCTAGACTGGGACTAAACAAGGACTAACTGGGACTAACAAGGGCTAGACTGAGACTAAACAAGGGCTAGACTGGGACTAAACAAGGACTAGACTGGGACTAAACAAGGACTAGACTGGGACTAAACAAGGGCTAGACTGAGACTAAACAAGGACTAGACTGGGACTAAACCGTGACTAAACAAGGCTAGACTGGGACTAAACAAGGACCGACTGGACTAAACAAGGACTAGACTGGACTAAACAAGGACTAGACTGGGACTAAACAAGACACTGGGACTAACAAGGACTAGACTGGACTAAACAAGACTAGACTGAGACTAACCAGACTAGACTGGGACTAAACCAGGACCTGACCGGGACTAAACCAGGACTTAAACAAGGACTAGACTGGGACTAAACCAGGACTAGACTAGACTAGACTGTGACTAAACAAGGACTAGACTGACTAAACAAGGACTAGACTGTGACTAAACAAGGACTAGACTGGGACTAAACAAGGACTAGACTGACAGGACTAGACTGGGACAAAACAAGGACTAGACTGAGACTAAACAAGACAGGACTAAACAGACTGGGACTAAACAAGGGCTAGACTGGGACTAAACAAGGACTAGACTGGGACTAAACAAGGACTAGACTGGGACTAAACAAGGGCTAGACTGGACTAAACAAGGACTAGACTGGGACTAAACCGTGACTAACAGGGCTAGACTGGGACTAAACAAGGACTAGACTGGGACTAAACAAGGACTAGACTGGGACTAAACAAGGACTAGACTGGGACTAAACAAGGACTAGACTGGGACTAAACAAGGACTAGACTGAGACTAAACAAGGACTAGACTGGGACTAAACAAGGACTAGACTGGGACTAAACAAGGACTAGACTGGGACAAACCAGGGACTAGACTGGGACTAAACAAGGGACTAGACTGGACTAAACAAGGACTAGACTGGGACTAAACAAGGGCTAGACTGAGACTAGACCGACTAAACAAACTAGGGACTAAACAAGGACTAGACTGGACTAAACAAGGACTAGACTGGGACTAAACAAACAAGGACTAACTAGACTGGGACTAAACAAGGACTAGACTGGGACTAAACAAGGACTAGACTGGGACTAAACAAGGACTAGACTGAGACTAAACAAGGACTAGACTGGGACTAAACAAGGACTAGACTGGGACTAAACAAGGACTAGACTGAGACTAAACAAGGACTAGACTGGGACTAAACAAGGACTAGACTGGGACTAAACAAGGACTAGACTGAGACTAAACAAGGACTAGACTGGACTAAACAAGGGACTAGACTGGGACTAAACAAGGACTAGACTGGGACTAAACAAGGACTAGACTGGGACTAAACAAGGACTAACTGGGACTAAACAAGGGCTAGACTGGGACTAAACAAGGGCTAATGGGACTAAACAAGGGCTAGACTGGGACTAAACAAGGGCTAAGACTGGGACTAAACAAGGACTAGACTGGGACTAAACAAGGACTAGACTGGGACTAAACAAGGACTAGACTGGGACTAAACAAGGACTAGACTGGGACTAAACAAGGACTAGACTGGGACTAAACAAGGACTAGACTGGGACTAAACAAGGACTAGACTGGGACTAAACAAGGACTAGACTGGGACTAAACCAGGACTAGACTGAGACTAGACCGTGACTAAACAAGGACTAGACTGGGACTAAACAAGGACTAGACTGGGACTAAACAAGGACTAGACTGGGACTAAACAATGACTAGACTGGACTAAACAAGGGCTAGACTGTGACTAAACAAGACTAGACTGAGACTAAACAAGGACTAGACTGGGACAAAACAAGGACTAGACTGAGACTAAACAAGGACTAGACTGGACTAAACAAGGACTAGACTGGGACTAACAAGGACTAGACTGAGATTAAACAAGGACTAGACTGGGACTAAACAAGGACTAACTGGGACTAAAACAAACTAAGGACTAACAAGGACTAGACTGGGACTAAACAAGGACTAGACTGGGACTAAACAAGGACTAGACTGGGACTAAACAAGGACTAGACTGGGACTAAACAAGGACTAGACTGGGACTAAACAACTAGACTGGGACTAAACAAGGGACTGGCTAACTGGGACTAAACAAGGGCTAGACTGGGACTAAACAAGGACTAGACTGGAACTAAACAAGGACTAGACTGGGACTAAACCATGGACTAAACAAGGGACTAGACTGGGACTAAACAAGGACTAGACTGGGACTAAACAAGGACTAGACTGGGACTAAAAAGGACTAGACTGGGACTAAACAAGGACTAGACTGGACTAAACAAGGACTAGACTGGGACTAAACAAGGACTAGACTGGGACTAAACAAGACTAGACTGGGACTAAACCAGGACTGGGACTAAACAAGGGCTAGACTGGGACTAAACAAGGGCTAGACTGGACTAAACAAGGACTAGACTGGGACTAAACAAGGACTAGACTGGGACTAAACAAGGGCTAGACTGGGACTAAACAAGGGCTAGACTGGGACTAAACAAGGACTAGACTGGGACTAAACAAGGACTAGACTGACTAACAAGGGACTAGACTAAACAAGGGCTAGACTGGGACTAAACAAGGGCTAGACTGGGACTAAACAAGGGCTAGACTGGGACTAAACAAGGGCTAGACTGGGACTAAACAAGGGCTAGACCGGGACTAAACAAGGACTAGACTGGGACTAAACAAGGACTAGACTGGGACTAAACAAGGGCTAATTCTGAATTAATTCATTTGGAATAATTCAATTGTAATTAAAAAACATCATGTATTTATCACAATTTATTTTTGATAAATTTATTTCCATTCACTGAAACTGTACTTTAAGTATTTCCACCAAACTGTTCTGGACGATGGTGTAAACGAGCGTTCGTGCTGTGACTTGGCACCAGTGTGTTTCTTTTGACTTTTGTCTTGGTTAATGTTTTATTGTGCACTGTCCCTGTACAAACAAATCAACAGTGTGTGAAGGTGCATCCAAAACTGTAAATGTTAGGGGTGTGCAAAAATATCGGAATATCGATATATCGTATCGTTTAATGTGATGATACAGTATCGATATCGTGGGCTGCTGTATCGATTTAACACCAAGAGTATTTTTAGGTGTGGAAAGAACAAAAAATGTGGCTGTTTGCTGCAGTTGTTCCAATCAGTAGCAGCAAATAGAGAAAGGAAAAAAGGATCAAAACTCAAGACACAACAGATTCCAGGCAACTTCAAAACAGTAGAAAAAGTTAACACATCGCACGAGGAAAAATATAATTAAAAGGCCTTTGTTTGAATGACCAAAGCCAACATGTTTCGACCTTAACTGGTCTTCATCAGGGCTTGATTAAAAACAAAGCCTGGGTGTGGCCTTCAAGTAGAACACATCAACCAATAACAAGACTGGAGGAAACTGGAGGCCGACAAAACAGGTGCACAAAGACAGGACATGGTACAGGCAAAAAAACAAAAAAAAAACAAAAAACATCATAACCATAATGTATTTTTAATATATATATATATATTTTTTTAATAAATATATATATATATATATTAAAAATTATGATACAGATACATTATTATTAATTTTATTATTAATACATTATTGGTAACAGTAATAATGGAAACATTATGGTTATGATGTTTTTTTTGTTGTTTTTTGCCTGTACCATGTCCTGTCTTTGTGCACCTGTTTTGTCGGCCTCCAGTTTCCTCCAGTCTTGTTATTGGTTGATGTGTTCTACTTGAAGGCCACACCCAGGCTTTGTTTTTAATCAAGCCCTGATGAAGACCAGTTAAGGTCGAAACATGTCGGCTTTGGACATTCAAATAAAGGCCTTTTAATTATATTTTTCCTCGTGCGATGTGTTAACTTTTTCTACTGTTTTGGAGTTGCCTAGTATTTTTAGGTGTGTTTTACAGTTTTGTTGTTTGTGGAGTGACATTTTTACTGTTTTGATGATTAAAATGTTTGTGTTTCATATGAACTTTGCACAAGAAGCGGTTTAACAAACACTTTTAGTATCACAGCCACGATTTAGACTTTATTTTTTATTGAAACCGTATCGAATCGATTTGAAATATATCATATCGAATCGAAAGTGCACTGTATCTAGGTATGTATCGTATCGGCAACTTCTTAAAGGTTGTATGGAGGATTTTTTTTTTGTTTCAAATTGTCAGTGAAAGTTTAAAATATCATTACAGAGACGCAGCAGCTTTGTAATTATGATGACCAAAAAAAAAAGAAAGAAAATCTATCAACTGTGGACGTGTTGAGGCCAGATAAACATCAGCCAATAGAAAACGAGGCTCCCTCATTTTCTATTGGCTGTTAGGCTGTCAATTAAACTCCCTAGTATAACTGACTCGTCGGAGCGCGGGGATTACGTGGTTTACGCAGCGGTTCTTAGAGGCTTTTTCGAACTGTCGCTTCCTTGCATTTCGCACAAAGTTTGTCGCGACGGCGGACGAGAATCCATGACCGGTTCGCCGCAAAAGAAAGTCCGTTTTTGAGGTCGCTGAAAGAAGAAGAGAAGAGGAAAAGGAGCGAAGACAAACTGAGGTGATTCTTGGAGATCTCGTCCAGCGATGGCGCGACCGAAGCAGACGAAGGGTCTAAAAACTGACGCGTCGGTCGCTGAATTACTTCTAGACAGGAAACTTCAACAGTGATTCTGAACGCGCACAAGGACTGTCGCTGTATTTCTCTTCCCTTAAAAAAATCCTCTATACAACCTTTAATGATACCAGCCCTAGTAAATGTGCCCTATGATTTTGACCGTGTTTTGCTTTTTAAAGTTCTAAAAACATGGTTGAAAACTACGACAAAGCCTGATTTTAATAAACAGTTTGGTTCATTTTTTATCAAACAAACGTGATCTTGAACAGTCTTTTGTGGCAGCGTCTCAGATGGTGGTGACTGACCTCTCGGAGCCCGACAGGAGAGCAGACGCGCTCTCCAAACTGGGGCTGTGCTTCGGCGTCGGGATGCTGACGGGCTCCACGCTGGGAGGGCATCTGAACACACTCTACGGGTCAGTACCGCCGCTCTGTGGGCTGCAGGGGGCGCTGTCTCTCTCTGTACTGACAGGGGCGGCAGGGGCAGCGGTGGTTCAGATCGATCACAGACACTTTTGGGCAAGTTATTTAAAAACTGTAATAAGACGTGACACGACTGTTAAACTTCACTAAAATAATGATCACTGATCGTTAAGTAACATATTGTACCGGATTTGGACTAAACCAGGATTAAATCAGGACTGAACCAGGACTAAACCGAGACTGAACCAGGACTGAACCAGGACTAAACCAGGACTAAGCCAGGACTAAACTGAGGACTGAACCAGGACTGAACCAGGACTAAGCCAGGACTGAACTGAGGACTGAACCAGGACTAAACCAGGTCTAAACCAGGACTAAACTGAGGACTAAACCAGGTCTAAACCAGGACTAAACTAGGACTAAACCAGGACTGAACCAGGACTAAGCCAGGTCTAAACCAGGACTCAAGACTGAACCAGGACTGAACCAGACTAAACCAGGACTAAACCAGGACTAAACCAGGACTAAACCAGGTCTAAACCAGGTCTAAACCAGGACTAAACCAGGACTAAACTGAGGACTAAACCAGGTCTAAACCAGGTCTAAACCAGGACTAAACCAGGACTAAACCAGGAGGTCTAAACCAGGTCTAAACCAGGTCTAAACCAGGTCTAAACCAGGTCTAAACCAGGACTAAACCAGGACTAAACTGAGGTCTAAACCAGGACTAAACTGAGGACTAAACTATTGCTGCTATTTGGTCGTGACATACATTAGGTGTGGACGATGTCTCGATATTTTAAATATATCGAGATATTTTTTAAACTTGATATGGATTCTGACATATCGTATATATCGATATAATGCTTATATTTAATTCTGATTTTGTTTCGCTTCGCTTGTTTGCCTCCTCTGTCGTCGCCTTGAGTGAGCTGTTTATGCAAATGAGCCATGCGGTTTTAAGTTTCGTTTCTGTAAAATGTAAACACACGTGAACGAAACTGCATTAAACACATTATAATCTCAAACAGGCTGATGTGGCTCTAGAGTCGTTCTGCTTTATATATTGTCAAATTTAATTATTCAGAAGATTTTAATTAATAATCTGCTGTGTAACTTGTACAGTTGTGTTTGGAACTGTAAAGGAACTCATGATTATCAGAGTTAATGCAAAGATGAGCTTTAGTTGAGTTGTTTTATTTATGAATAAAAAGAAGGAAATATGCATTATTTCTTTTATTTTACAGTTAAATTATTATTTATGTAATCAGGGATTTTTTGTAATCTTAAATGTGGCGGAAGCACTTTGTTCGTACATGAACTGCCTGCCTCTTGCACTTCAGTAAAAAAAGACATTGTGGATTTTGGCAGATTTGTTTTTGCAGTAGTTTTAGGGGGTTATTTTTCCTGTACACATATTGAGATATATATCGTATATCGAGATATAGCAAAATATATTGAGATATAATTTGCTCTATATCGCCCAGACCTAACATATGTAAAGCTCCAAATCCCGTAGGAAGAAGGACAATAACGTCTTTCCTCTTGATAAAATTCGCCAAACATTCTCTTTGTTCCGGCTTTAAATCCTCGGGAATCGTTGCCAACACAGAATGTTTGTCTCTTCACTGATTGGCCGGTACCCGAACTCGAACTTCCGGGGTTCTTGCAAATCGTCCAGTGCAGACGTGTCAAACTCAGGCCCGGGAGCCAAATTTAGCCCGCGATATAATTATATTTGGGCCACAAGATCATATCAAATCTGTATTAGAGCTGCCGCCACTGGATGATAAGGCGCACAGTCGTTTTTGATGAAATGAAAGGATTTTAAGTGCGCCCTATAGTGCAGAACATACGGTAATATGTGTAAAAAAAAAAGTGTGTAATATGAGTTGTCATGTGACGTTGCAGAGAGAAGGTGACGGCGTGTGTGGGCGCTGTGGGCGGGGCCTTCAGTCTCCTCCTGGTCCGAATGTTCATCCCGAAAAACACCAAAGCTCCAACCAAAGCCAAGACCGAAGGTGAGGATCTGAGAGGCTGAACTAGTTCTTTTTTTTTTTTTAACTGGACCTGGTTTAGTCCTGGTTTAGTCCCCTGGTTTAGTCCTGGTTTAGACCTGGTTTAGTCCTGGTTTAGACCTGGTTTAGACCTGGTTTAGTCCTGGTTTAGACCTGGTTTAGACCTGGTTTACCTGGTTTATCCTGGTTTAGTCCTGGTTTAGTCCTGGTTTTAAGACCTGGTTTAGTCCTGGTTTAGTCCTGGTTTAGTCCTGGTTTAGTCCTGGTTTAGTCCTGGTTTAGTCCTGGTTTAAGACCTGGTTTAAGAGTCCTGGTTTAGACCTGGTTTAGTCCTGGTTTAGTCCTGGTTTAGACCTGGTTTAGTTTTCCTGGTTTAGTTTTCCTGGTTTAGTCCTGGTTTAAGTCCTGGTTTTACCTGGTTTTCCTGGTTTAGTCCTGGTTTAGACCTGGTTTAGTCCTGGTTTAGTCCTGGTTTAGTCCTGGTTTAGACCTGGTTTAGACCTGGTTTAGACCTGGTTTAGACCTGGTTTAGTCCTGGTTTAGTCCTGGTTTAGTCCTGGTTTAGTCCTGGTTTAGTCCTGGTTTGAACATTATTGTTTCTTGCATCTTTTTGTGTTTTATTTAATGTTTTGTCGTTCAAATTACGTCAACTTCAAATGATAAATCAGATTCTTACTTTAACAGTTGTTCTTATTTCTAAATCACAACGTCCAGACTGAAAGAGGAGACGGGATAAAAACTGTTTCCTGTGGTGTTTTTCAGGAGAGAAGAAGTCCCTGTTCAGTTTGGGGGAGATCACTAGATTACTCAAGTATCCGGGAGTCGTTCCAACTTTTATTGTGAAAATCGTGGCAGGTATTCCCACAGGTGAGTGTTTATAACTCCGACCTCCTCACGCCACAGTCAAATCAAAACACCGGACCAAAATACAATGTTTGTTTTAAAGGCTGTACGGAGGATTTTTTTTTTTTGTTTGTGTCAAATTGAGTGCGTCACATGCACATCAATAACCCGGTTATTCTCCATATCCCGGTTCTGTCAGTGTTCGTGTTACTGTGTTTACATGTTCACTGAGAAACCGGGACACTCATATCCGCGTGTACATGATCAAATGGAGTGTCCCGGTTTCTTGACATAATCTTACAAATGCGCAGGCGCAAAAATTTACTTAAATCAATTTCATAAACCAGGAAAAAATACAAACCGTGAGCTCCTTTAGCATAAGAAGCTAAGGAGCTACGAGATCTCCCACAATCCACTGTGCAGATTCTTCATTCAAATCTTCTGCATAAATAAACTCAACTTTACAACATATAAACCATAAACACTATAGACACATCAGCCCGTTTGATCAGATCATTCAGCTCTGATCACATTTGTTTACGTTTTACAGAAACGAAACTTAAGACCGTTTGGCTAATTAGCATAAACTGTTAGCGGCGATAAAAACAACTCGCTCCTTGTGCCGCTGATGTGATCAGGTTTTTTTTGGACTAAATGACACGACTCTGTGGATTATGTGTGTTATTTCTGTGACAGAAGAGGTGCTGATGATGGTGAGTCTGTTCTGTGTGTGTTGTACAGGAGATAGTTCATGTTTTAGTTTTTCAGCGTCACACGAGTGCAGGTCGTACGAGTGCAGGTCGTACGAGTGCAGATTGTACGTGTGCAGGTTTAGCGCAGCTCTTTATTTTACGTCATTTCACTCGTTTGGTCACTTTATTTATGTTGGTCAATTTATTTATGTCACTACTGTTGTGGTGAAAGGCTGGAAAGTGTCTTTTGGACGCATGCGACTCAACTTTATGTTGCAGTAACCGGGATACTGCGTTTACATGCCACAAGTATCCCGGTTACTATCGGAATAAACCAGCTACAGTAACCGGTTTCTAATAACCGGGATACTGCCATAACCGGGTTACTGAAACCGGGTTACTGCGTTTACATGCACCATCAAGAAACCGGGATACTCAAAAAACCCGATCATAATCGGGTTATTGATGTGCATGTAAACGCACTCATTGTTATCGAAAGTTTAAAATACCAGTACAGAGACGCAGCAGCCTTGTAATTATGATGACCCAAAAAAAAAAAAAAAAAGAATGAAAATCTATCAACTGTGGACGTGTTGAGGCCAGATAAACATCAGCCAATAGAAAACGAGGCTGCGTCTTTTTCTATTGGCTGTTCTGTTGTCAATCAAACTCCCTACATTTCTAGTGTAACTGACTCGTCGGCGTGCGGGGATTATGTGGTTTATGCAGCGCTTCTTAGAGGCTTTTTCAAACTGTAGCGTCATTGCAGTTTGCGCAAAGTTTGTTGCGATGGAGGAAGAGAATCGACGACCGGTTCGCCGCGAAAGAAAGTCAGTTTTTGAAAGAAGAAGAGAAGAGGAAAAGGAGCTAAACTGAGGTGATTCTTGGAGCTCTCTTCCAGCGATTGCGCGAATGAAGTAGACAAAGAGTCTAAAAACTGACGCATCGGTCGCTAAATTATTTCTAGACAGGTCACTTCAACAGTAAGTCTTGGATGCACACGGGATGTAAACAAGCGTAACTAGAGTAAAGAGGCGGGAGAAGGTGTTTCTACTGAGGGAGCTGCTTAAAAAAATCCTCTATACAACCTTTAATGTTTACTAGAGCCCGGCCGATATATCGATTGGCTGATATTATATGATATGTTTGTGGGCCGATATTTCACGTGGGCATATTTTATCTTGTTATAAATCTTAGACTCTCTACATTATGTTCATTTAATCCAATTTACAGACAGATAAATGTCCTAATATGTTTCTTCACGTCAGTATTTATCTGTGGAGTCATTTGTCTGTGTGTGTGTTCGTACTGTCTAATAATAATAATACCAACAAAAAAAGTTTCTCAGTGCACAAACAATTACATACACATATATTTTGACATTGTCCAAGAGTATGTTTTTTTTTTTTTTACTGTGCTTAATAATATTTTCTTAATATTTTATCACTGTCAAACTCTGTAAACTTTTTTTTTTTTTTTTTTTTTTTTGTCGTTGGGCCAAAGATGCACATTTTATTTAATTAACTAAATTCATGTTTTTTTTTTTATGTATAAATAAATAAGTTTATATTTTCCAGGGATGTTCCAGTCGATGTTTATGATCATCGCTCTGGACGTCTTCAAACTGGACCCGAAAGAGAACGGGTACCTCATGGCTTTCTTCGGGATTTCCCAAATGGTGAGGACAAACAAACACGTTTATACTTTTTGTTTAATTTTGATTAAGATCAGGGTATTGGCGCGATAAGACTCAACATTTCACGAGGTTCATTGGGTTCATTGGTCGCAGTCCTCACAGCAGCTTTTGTGTTTACATTACACACACTCGATTAGATTAGATTTATTTTATTTTCTTTTCCGTTGTGTGTTGTTGTTGTTGTGCGGTGACGTGAAACAGGAGGCGCTTCCTCACGTTTTGAGAATAAAACCGGCTCAGGTCAGTTCAGGTTAAGTCTGGTCAGGTTAGATTAGGTTAAATTAGGTTAAATTAGGTTAGGTGAGGTTAATCCGTGTGTCACTTGTTCATTAAATTTTCAAAATAAAACCAAAAATAAGAAAAAAAACAAAAAAAATATATTTTCTTCATTATTTGTCTTTGTTTTCAATTTTGTGTTTAATGAATAATGGAAAAAAATGGATAACGGACTAAACCAGAACTGAACCAGAACTGAACCAGGACTACACCAGGACTACACCAGGACTACACCAAGACTAAACCAGGACTAAACCAGACTAAACCTAGACTAAACCTGGACTACACAGAACAAAACCAGGTCTAAACCAGGTCTTAAAACCAGGACTGAACCAGGACTAAACCATGTCTAAACCATGTCTAAACCAGGACTAAACCAGGACTAAACCAGGACTAAACCAGGACTAAACCAGGACTAAACCAGGTCTAAACCAGGTCTAAACCAGAACTGAACCAGGACTAAACCAGGACTAAACCTGGACTTCACAGGACTAAACCAGGACTAAACCAGGACTAAACCAGGACTAAACCTGGACTACACAGGACTAAACCAAGTCTTAAAACCAGGACTGAACCAGGACTGAACCAGGACTGAACCAGGACTAAACCAGGACTAAACCAGGTCTAAACCAAGACTGAGTGTCGGGACAGTACAATTGAAAACTGAAAAAACAAATTATTCGTTTTTTTCATTTTGGTTTTGGAGACAAATAATGAAGAAAATATTTATATATTTTTTTCATTTTCTTATTTTTGGTTTTTATTTTGAAAAAACGAATGAAGGAGTGACACATGGATTCAGGTTCATAGATCTATAATCAATTCTGAAGCTACAGAATCCGTCCTTTGTGAAAGCTGGATGCCCTGTCAGAACACGGACATTGTGCCTCTGTGGGAGAATTATTTCTGAGCCCAAACTCCAGGAGCTGCAGAACCTGGAGCGACCACTAGAGGGAGCGGGGCTTGTCCAGGTTTTATGACAGATCCATGCTCTGGTCTGGTCTGGTCTGCTCTGGTCTGGTCTGGTCTGGTCTGGTCTGGCGAGGTTGCTTTATTTGTCTGTGTAGGTAAATTAGTTTTACAGATTTGATGGTTCCTCTGGTCCCATCACCCTTAGCCTAAAAGTAAATCTAAATTATTTATTTACTTTCTTGGAAAGGTTTCAGCAGACGATGCCAAACGTCACTGCACAGTTTAACCTGAGGTGAGGTCACAGAGTGTGTTTACAGCACATCAGTGTCTGGGTAGAAAAGGGTTTTTGGAGTCGTCATGGTGCATGGAAACACAGTGTCCTGGTTTCACGATCCCAAATAGTAGCTGGGATATTCCAGCTGTAACCGGGATGTGAACACACTGACTCTGCAGATGATCCATGTTCTAGACCCGTACTAGAAGAACTCACTGTGAACCTCACTGTGGACCTCACTGTGGACCTCACTGTGGACTCACTGTGGACCTCACTGTTCACTGTGGACCTCACTGTGGACCTCACTGTGAACTTCACTGTGAACCTCACTGTGGACCTCACTGTGGACTGTGGACTCACTGTGGACCTCACTGTGGACCTCACTGTGACCTCACTGTGAACCTCACTGTGGAACTTCACCTCACTGTGGACCTCACTGTGGACCTCACTGTGGACTTCACTGTGAACTTCACTGTGGACCTCACTGTGGACCTCACTGTGGACTCACTGTGAACCTCACTGGACCTCACTGTGACCTCACTGTGGACCTCACTGTGACCTCACTGTGGACTTCACTGTGGACTTCACTGTGGACTTCACTGTGGACCTCACTGTGGACCTCACTGTGAACTTCACTGTGGACCTCACTGTGGACCTCACTGTGACTTTCACTGTGGACTCACTGTGACTTCACTGTGGAACCTCACTGTGACTGACTTCACACTGTGTGACCTTCACTGTGTGAACTCACTGTGAACCTCACTGTGACTTCACTGTGAACTTCACTGTGGACCTCACTGTGAACCTCACTGTGGACTTCACTGTGTGAACTTCACTGTGACCTCACTGTGGACCTCACTGTGACCTCACTGTGGACCTCACTGTGGACCTCACTGTGGACCTCACTGTGAACTTCACTGTGAACTTCACTGTGAACCTCACTGTGGACTTCACTGTGAACCTCACTGTGAACTTCACTGTGGACCTCACTGTGGACCTCACTGTGGACTCACTGTGAACCTCACTGTGACCCTCACTGTGAACTTCACTGTGAACTTCACTGTGAACCTCACTGTGAACTTCACTGTGGACCTCACACTCTGTTGTTGTTGTTGTTTTATTTGTTGTTGTTTTATTGTTGTTGTTGTTTTTATTTGTTGTTGTTTATTTTTGTTGTTGTTGTTTTATTTGTTGTTGTTGTTTTGTTGTTGTTGTTTTATTTGTTGTTGTTTTATTTGTTGTTGTTTTATTTGTTGTTGTTGTTTTATTTGTTGTTGTTTTATTTGTTGTTGTTGTTTTATTTGTTGTTGTTGTTTTATTTGTTGTTGTTTTATTTGTTGTTGTTTTTTGTTGTTGTTTTATTTGTTGTTTGTTTTTTGTTGTAGTTTATCCAGGGGGCGGTGGTGGGTCGACTCACAGCTCGTTTTAAAGAACCCACCCTCCTCCTGATCTCCATCGTCGCCTCTGCAGCTGTGGGGCTCGGACAGGTAACACTCACCTGTCGCACCTGTCGCACCTGTCACAGTCTAACACACTCACCTGTCGCACCTGTCACACCTGTCACCTGTCTCACCTGTCGCACCTGTCTCACCTGTCTCAGTCTAACACGCTCACCTGTCGCACCTGTCACACCTGTCGCACCTGTCACAGTCTAACACACTCACCTGTCACAACTGTTAAAATTTTTTTGTGTATATTCTTTGGAAATACCCAATTTTGTGCGTTATTTCATGTTATCTTATTTTGAAGGCATACGTTATTTACTCTGGTCTCTTATTTTGAAAGCGTACGTGTTTTACTCTCGTCTTTTATTTTGAAGGCGTACGTGTTTCACTCTGGTCTCTTATTTTGAAGGCGTACATTATTTACTGTAGTCTCTTATTTTGAAGATGTGCTCTTTACGCTGGTCTCTTATTTTGAAGGTGTACATTATTTACTCTAGTCTCTTATTTTGAAGGCGCACATTATTGTAGTCTCTTATTTTGAAGATGTGCATGCTTTACGCTGGTCTCTTATTTTGAAGGCGTACATTATTTACTGTAGTCTCTTATTTTGAAGATGTGCATGCTTTACGCTGGTCTCTTATTTTGAAGGCGTACATTATTTACTCTAGTCTCTTATTTTGAAGGCGTACATTTTTTACTCTAGTCTCTTATTTTGAAGGTATACATGATGTACTCTCTTATTTTGAAGGCGTACATGCTTCACTCTGGTCTCTTATTTTGAAGGTGTATGTGCTTGACTCTCTTATTTTGAAGGTGTACATCTTTACTCTTATTTTGAAGGTGTACAGTATTCACTCTGGTCTCTTATTTTGAAGGCGAATGTGTTTTATTCTGGTCTTTTATTTTAAATGTGTACATGCTTTACTCTGGTATTTTATTTTGAAGGCGCACATGCTTTACTGTCTTATTTTGAAGGTGTATATTATTTACTCCGGTCTCTTATTATGAAGGCGTACATGCTTCACTCTGGTCTCTTATTTTGAAGGTGTACGTGTTTTACTCTGGTCTTTTATTTTGAAGGTGTACGTGTTTTACTCTGGTCTTTTATTTTGAAGGCGTACGTGTTTTACTCCGGTCTCTTATTATGAAGGCGTACGTGTTTTACTCTGGTCTTTTATTTTGAAGGCGTACGTGTTTTACTCTGGTCTTTTATTTTGAAGGTGTACATGTTTTACTCTGGTCTTTTATTTTGAAGGCGTACGTGTTTTACTCCGGTCTCTTATTATGAAGGCGTACGTGTTTTACTCCGGTCTTTTATTTTGAAGGCGCACGTGTTTTACTCTGGTCTTTTATTTTGAAGGCGTACGTGTTTTACTCTGGTCTTTTATTTTGAAGGCGTACGTGTTTTACTCTGGTCTTTTATTTTGAAGGCGTACGTGTTTTACTCCGGTCTCTTATTATGAAGGCGTACGTGTTTTACTCTGGTCTTTTATTTTGAAGGTGTACGTGTTTTACTCTGGTCTTTTATTTTGAAGGCGTACGTGTTTTACTCTGGTCTTTTATTTTGAAGGCGTACGTGTTTTACTCTGGTCTTTTATTTTGAAGGCGTACGTGTTTTACTCCGGTCTCTTATTATGAAGGCGTACGTGTTTTACTCTGGTCTTTTATTTTGAAGGTGTACGTGTTTTACTCTGGTCTTTTATTTGAAGGCGTACGTGTTTTACTCTGGTCTTTTATTTTGAAGGCGTACGTGTTTTACTCTGGTCTTTTATTTTGAAGGCGTACGTGTTTTACTCCGGTCTCTTATTATGAAGGCGTACGTGTTTTACTCTGGTCTTTTATTTTGAAGGTGTACGTGTTTTACTCTGGTCTTTTATTTTGAAGGCGTACGTGTTTTACTCTGGTCTTTTATTTTG